GCTGCATACAGAAGAGTATGAATGGAAGTCTATCGGCTTATTCACACTGAAAGCATCTTTGCTATAGATAGATAAAGATAGACAGACAGACAGACAGACATATGGATGGATGGATGGATGGATGGATGGATGGATGGATGGATGGATGGATGGATGGGCGGACAGATAGGTAGATAGATTGTTAGACAGACAGAGACAGACAGACAGACAGACAGACAGACAGACAGACAGACAGACAGACAGACAGACAGACAGATAGATAGATAGATAGATAGATAGATAGATAGATAGATAGATAGATAGATAGATAGATAGATAGATAGACAGACAGAGATAGACAGAGAGATAGACAGACAGACAGACAGATAGAGAAAGACAGAAAGACAGATAGATAGACAAATAGACAGATAGATAGATAGATAGATAGACAGACAGACAGACAGACAGACAGACAGACAGATAGAGAAAGACAGACAGACAGATAGATAGATAGACAGATAGATAGATAGATAGATAGACAGACAGACAGACAGACAGACAGACAGACAGACAGATAGAGAAAGACAGACAGACAGATAGATAGACAAATAGATAGATAGACAGATAGATAGATAGATAGATAGATAGATAGATAGATAGATAGATAGATAGATAGATAGATAGATAGATAGATAGATAGATAGATAGATAGATAGATAGATAGATAGATAGACAAACAGAGACAGACAGACAGACAGACAGACAGACAGACAGACAGACAGACAGACAGACAGACAGACATAGACAGACAGATAGATAGACAAACAGAGACAGACAGAAAGACAGACAGACAGACAGACAGACAGACAGAAAGATAGACAGACAGACAGAGACAGACAGACAGACAGACAGATAGATAGATAGATAGATAGATAGATAGATAGATAGATAGATAGATAGATAGATAGATAGATAGATAGATAGATAGATAGATAGATAGATAGATAGATAGATAGATAGACAAACAGAGACAGACAGACAGACAGACAGACAGACAGACAGACAGACAGACAGACAGACAGACAGATAGATAGATAGATAGATAGATAGATAGATAGATAGATAGATAGACAAACAGAGACAGACAGACAGACAGGCAGACAGACAGACAGACATGTACAAATGTCTTAAGTTGTTTTAGATCTAAGACATGTCCCTGTGGTAAAACACAAGTTATGCGTAACAGTATATAGATAGAAGTTGCACTTACAGGTTCTAAGCGCATGACTGTTTTTATCAACTGTTAAGTGAAAAGTTGAGCTGAAACTGTTCTGAACCCTGAATGAGATGTTTAATGTGTTCTGCTTCATCAGTATTTCTGTTCTGAAAAATTCAAGGGATCGACTCATCATTTCTCAAAGGTTTTATGTATGTTGACTGAATTAAAATTGAAAACGATGCGACCATATTAAGACGTGCCAATGCAATATCAATGCTGCTACTGTACTGTACTCTGTCTTGCTGTTTTGTGTATAGATTGTGCCTGATGTTTTTTTTTTTTTTGTTAATACACCTTCTTTTCTTCTTCTTCCTGTTGTTTGAAATGTTTGCCAGAGACAGATTAAGGACTGAACTAATCTGTTAATCTGCTGTAAATGCTTCAAAAGCTGGGATTTGGCTTTTAGTGTGAGCCAGACAGTAAGACACACTCCTGATCCGCACCTGTGCTCACTTATCAAACCTGCTGTACTCTGTGACCAATAAAGTTTTTGACATAACATTAATTTATTGATGTGTTTATTTATTTAGCAGGATATTGGGTATAATGCAAAAATAATGTTCTTATCAAAATGTTGATTTACTGACTTACTTAGCAAATAATAACAATTTTATTATGTATTTCTTCATTTTCACCAAGAATATGCTTATTGGAAATTTATTGATATTTTTATGATTTATTTATTTTCAGAAAAGATTAATCTCATTAGGAGTTTATTTATTTATGTATTTATTTTTACCGAAGAATAAGCTTATTATGAATGTATTTATTTATTTTATTATTTCAAATGTTGATTGACTGATAATTTTATTTATTTATTCATTTTCAGAAAAGAAAAATCTTTCCAGGAATTTTTATTATTTAATTATTTATATCCATAAAAGAATAATATTTTTATTATTATACTATATTTATTCTTATATTTAATTATAATTATTATTATTATTATACAATTTTGTTGTTATTAATATTACTATCATTTATTTTCAGAAAACAATAATCTTATTAGGAATTAATTATTATTTTTTATTCTTTATTTGTTTTCAGAAAAGAATACTTTTATTAGATTTTTTAATTATTATTTTTTTATTAATATTCATAAAAAATAATCTTATTAATATTTTTTTTTACTATTATTACTATTCTTTTTCAGAAACGAATAATCCCATTAGGAATTTATTTATTTATTTTAAGGGGAGAATACACTTATTATGAATGTATTTATTTATTTAACTTGAGCACCAAATCTTGTTATGAATTTATTTATTTTTCTTCAAAGTACAGTCTTATTTGGGAAATTATTTATTATTTTTCAGCAAAGCTTAGTCTTATTTATTTATTTATTCAGAAAATAATAATATTAGAAATGTATTTATATATCTGTTTATTTTCTGGAAGAATAATCTTTCAATATTTATTTATTTATTTTGCAGGATGAAAACATATTTTCATATATAAAACAACGATTACAGTTTATTACTAAATAATAATATTATTAGTAGGACAGCCCTTTATGAATCAGGGTCGCCACAGCGGAATGAACCGCCAACTTACCCAGAATATGTTTTACGCAGTGGATGCCCTTCCAGCCACAACCCAGCACTTGGAAACACCCATACACTCTCACACCAACACGGGGAGAACATGCAAACTGCAAACAGAAATGCCAACTGACCTAGCCGAGGTTCGAACCAGCGACCTTCTTGCTATGTGGCAATGGCTGCACTGTGCCGCCCACAGCTATGTTAGAATAATTAAATAATAAGTAAAGAATAACCTGTTCTGTTTTAGATAGATAGATAGACAGATAGATAGATAGATAGATAGATAGATAGATAGATAGATAGATAGATAGATAGATAGATAGACAGACAGATAGACAGATAGATAGATAGAGATAGATAGATAGATAGATAGATAGATAGATAGATAGATAGATAGATAGATAGATAGATAGATAGATAGATAGATAGATAGATAGATAGACAGACAGATAGACAGATAGATAGATAGAGATAGATAGATAGATAGATAGATAGAGATAGATAGATAGATAGATAGATAGATAGATAGATAGATAGATAGATAGATAGATAGATAGATAGATAGATAGATAGACAGATAGACAGGTAGACAGATAGACAGGTAGACATGTAGACAGATAGACAGGTAGACAGATAGACAGGTAGACAGATAGACAGGTACACAGATAGACAGGTAGACAGATAGACAGGTAGACAGATAGACAGGTAGACAGACAGACATGTAGACAGATAGACAGGTAGACAGATAGACATATAGATAGATAGACAGGTAGATAGATATTTTATCAAAGTATGGTCCTGTATCTGTATCACTATCAGACTTTTTACCTTTTAGTTGCTTTGAACGTCATAAGACTTTCCTGCTGTCCTGTAAGATGTTTCACTGTTATTTTTAGGAGTCTGTTTCCTGTAGTCTTGATTTTCCATTGCTCTCCTGAAGTGTAACTGTGTGTGGATGCTTTGACTTTTACAGCGTTGCTTTTACAGTAAAACGATCCGCTTCAAGTCAAGTTCAAGTGCGTGGGAGTTCATTACGTCATCCTGCTCCTGCGTTCCTATTGGCCGATGAAGTTGCATCCGACTCCACCCCATCATTGATGTTGTTCCTCTCACGGCCGGCAGAGGGCGCTTCAGGTTCCTCCTGTTGCGCTTCTCCTCATATCTGTTGGATATGGGATTGGGAGATCCGACTCGTTTTAGTGAATCGATTCATTCGAACGACTCGCTTCAGTGAGTGAACGGTTGTTTTTTTCGTTTTTGTCTCAACCACATTTCTAATGTGTGAATTATTTGGGCGTTTTTAAGGAAGAGGATTTTTATATGGGTTTGTTCTAGGAGTTTAAAAAAGTATTTAAATCAGGACTGTTGTATTTTTATGTGTTTGTTGTCTGTACAGAGCAACTTACATGACATAGAGGGGGTAATAGTGGCGATACAATTAATAATGTGTCAGTAATCATTCATTCATCCATTTTCCTCCAGCTTAGTCCCTTTATTCACAGGGGTCGCCACAGTGGAATGAACCACCAACTATTCCAGCATATGTTTAACACAGAGGATGCCTTTCCACCTGCAACCCATCTCTGGGAAACATCCATACACACTCATTCACAAATATACATTACAGACAATTTAGCTCATGTATATATATGACCTATAGCGCATGTGACTGGACTATGGGGGAAACCAGATATTTACTGTATGTGTGTATATATATATATATATATATATATATATATATATATATATATATATATATATAGTGTTGGGCAAGGTACTTGAAAAATGTAGTGAGCTAATCTATTAGCTACTCTTCTTAAAATGTAGCTTGATTACACTAAATGCTACCCCCTGGGAAATGTAGCATGCTAAGCTAAAAGCTACCTTGCAGAAGTAGCTTAGCTACATCTAAGCTATTTTTGCAATTTTCATTTTAATTCGTAGCAACTTAAATCCAAGTCAATTTTAGTGGTCAGTAAAACTGTCAATATGAGGCACTATAGTTCAGTTTAGTTATTTACTGTAAATAATACGCTGTACTAAACATAAACAAAATATAGGATATAACAGCAAAAACGAAAAATCCAATTAAACCAGGTGTTACACACTTAAAATACTATAGTAATTTATTTATATAATATATTTATTGTGTGTGTATATACATATATATCGTATTGTATTTTTATTTTTTAAACACAGCATCAGAAATTAAGTTATTGCATCGTAACATGTACTTCTCGAGGTATGGTCACAAGGAATCCTGCATTAAAAACGCATTAAAAACTTTGTTGTCAAACACCGTAAAACAGGAAGAAGAAGAAATCGTCATTCTCGCCATCATATGGATTTACTGTCATCGGCTACACATCGGCCTCACAGCTCCGTGAATGTCAGTGCCGTCACTTATTGGTCCGTGATCAGTAAATGTAGCTTGTGTGGACGCTACTGCGCTACCTGACTAATAAAACAGTTTCGCTACTGAAAAGCTATTTGATTTAGAAAATAGCAACGCTACTGAGAAAAGTTGTTTCTGCCCAACACTATATATATATATATATATATATATATATATATATATATATATATATATATATATATATATATATAATATAAAAAACTTATATCATGTCAAAACAAACTTTTATTTTGGATGCGATTTATAAAAAACTAAATTTGCTTGCAATTTCACAAATTTTTTAACAGCAATCACTCACGCTGTCTGCGAATCGTCGTTTATTTTAACGCCTTTTCACTTTTGCTGCATCCCAATTTGCATACTATCCGTCCTAAATAGTATTCAGTAAAAGAATTAGAAACTATAGAATAAATAGCGTAAGCAGTGTGTTCACACTGAAAACTCTAAAAATATTAGGTGCTACTTAAATGCCCGGATGATGCCCTCATTAAATCGGTAAAATTAAGTGTGTAATGTTGGACACTTCACACACTCAACAACCACAGCTTTGCTCGCATAGCGGAAGGGGCGGAGCTATCGACTGGACATGTTGGATTACTTTATTTAGTTTGGATTGTAAAAGCAAAATTCTCCTACGAGAGTGATTATAGCGCCTCCCGATGGTGAACGCGGTTATACTCATGGCAGGTGTTATTTGGTAGTTTGGTCATTTATTTAGCTAATTTGGCAACCTTCAAACGATGAGTGTGTAAGTGCGTAAGCATATAGTGCATAGTGTATAGTGTGCTATTTGGGACGCAGCTACAGAATGTTGAAAAAAAGTATGCTAAAGGTTCCCAGATAGTTTACTGTTTCCGGTAAAAATTCGAAGTCTAGAACCGTCCATACTCTTACCACTAATATTGCCCACAATGCATTTCGCTTTGGACGTGAATTGATTAGAACTACAAAGTCTGGTAAAATGTGTAAATAAACTACAAACATGGCGGACGCACGAGACCAACCATCAGGAGGCTTCTGTAAAGTTGTTTGAATGACTATTAATTAATATCTAGCCATATTTACGTTGTGTTTTCCGGGTTATATTTCATCTGCAACAATGTGAACTCAAATTAAGATATGTTTGGACATCAATGTCTGAATGCATAATTATCAAAGACCTAAGGAGATTTCTCTGCACGAAAGACTCGCGAATGGCAGATTACCCTGCTGCTGCTTCTCCAAAAAAGTAGGTAAATATGAAAGGATGTTGATTAACAGCGCTCATAAAGTTTGACAGGTATGCTCATAAATGCAACAATAATCTGTTGACGATGATGTAGAATGTCCCAAAGCTTGCATACTCTTCTGTTACACACTTTTCCTTCACAAAAATAGTACGTTACATACATTTAGGGCGTAGTAGAAGTAGGCGATTTGAGACGCAGCATTTCTCATCGATTGATTCACAAACACGAATCGGCTCGAACGATTCATTTGAAAGAATCGGTTCAAATGAACTAATCGTAGGTGAATCGGACATCACTTGTCTGATGAACTGAAACTCTCCCGGAGAAACCGAGGGAGGAAGATGGCGGCCACTGACCGTTCCCGGTCCGAAGCGGCGAAGCAGCGGAGGCAGGATCAGCTGCAGCGGTGGCAGGGCTCAGAGACGGACCGGACCGGGGCGGAGGCGAGGAGCCATTCCGTCGCCCCGGGACACCGACGGGCTCGAGTGCGCTTCGCCCAGGGTGCAGTGTTCATGGCCGCCTGCTCCGCCGGGGACCGGGAGGAGGTGGCGGAGCTCCTGCGGCAGGGAGCAGACATCAACCACGCCAATATAGACGGACTCACGGCGCTCCATCAGGTATCCCGAACATCTCCGCTTCTTTACGCTCAAGTTTGACTCACTTTGGAAACTTTTTGCCAGAGTTCACCAACTTTTCTCTGCGCACTTCTCAACTGTTGAGGCGATGATGACAAGTAGGGATGTCTACTGAGGTAAAGTTGGTTTTATATTTGCGCAGTCAGACTTTCTCCTTAATAATTTCAGAAAAGTATTGTTTGATAAATAGTAGAATTAAATTAGCAGCCAATGACTACCAAAGTCTAATAAAGTAATAGTGCTCATGTTGTGTTCATGCCATACTTGCATGTTATTTCTGACCCAATATTCAAATTACCATTGTAAACAATATAGGGATCATGTCACTGAACCAATTTGCAAATTTGAAATCAACTTTACCTCATTAGAATGTCTGAGATGATAAACAATAGGAATATTTTGGATTAACTGGGTTAAATCATGTCTTCCCAACCCTTATATGTATTAGCTCTGAATTGATAGTTTATGAAATCATACTGTATTCTATATCAAATATTAAACTCGTTTTATCATTTGCAAAGATATATGGGTGAGTACACGATTTAATTAATGTTTTCCAACGTATTTAGGGGATTATACATTACATGATTAATGTATTTTTAGTGTGACTGAATTTGGCCAAGACAAAAACGTGATATTATTATTGTTTTTTTGTTTTTGGTGAACTTGACATTGATCAAAAGGGGAACATTTGTTTTAGGGGTTCCTTGTCACATGAAAACAATGTTGAATTTAGCTAAAGTTAATTTTAAAGTAGTTCATTTTGAACAGTGACAACTTGTGACTAGGCATGGGTCGATAACCGGTTTCAAGGTTTACCGCGGTTTAGAAGAGTCAAGGTATTAAAACCGCAAAAATATTTTGTTATACCCTTTCTAAGGTATATGTAAAGTTTTTTGTGTGTGTGTGTTTTCATGTGTTGTAAGGAGATCTGTGTTTTTGAAGCTAAAGGTGATAGTAGAAGTCAATGGCTTTTTTAAATTACGTAGCCTGACATGTTTACTGTTGCAAAATACTATAAATGTTTTCTAAAATGTAATATAGTGTGTTAAATGGGACGTTTAAAAATAAATTGTTTTACAGCAGTAAACACTGTGTAAACCGTGATATTTTTATCAAAGGTTATTATATCTGAAACCTATAGCGGCCCATGCCTACTTGTGGCGCTCCCTGTATTGTTTATTATGCTACTTTAAATATTCTGTCTGTAAGAAAGACTTCAAAACAACATTAGCTTGATTTAATTGACTGCAAATAATCCACTTTGATAGTCATTGGCTTTTAAAAAGATTGAACTATTTAGAATTTGCAAAGGATGCTTTTCTTAAATTATAATGTTTAGGATAAAGTCCAAACGTGCCAATATAAAAATAGCTTTACCTCAGTAAGCACTGGACAAAAAAAATGTTGTTTCCAGTATGTTATGCCATGTTTAAAGGACAGTGATGTACTGAAAAAGGATGACAATATTGTCAAACTATCTGTAGAAAACACAGATCTGAAAAAAAGAGCTGTATTTTGCATGCCAGGCCAGTAGTTGGCAATGTAACACTAAAAACACCACACATCTGCTTCAGTAATTCATTTTGTTTTTGTACTTGCTCATAACACATTCACATGAGGTCATGTCACAGTTTTCACATATTTGTAGATTATGTGCATTTTTGGGATGTTTTAATGACTACAAACGTGCAAAACGTACGTGTTTGTTATTCGTTACACTGACTGTCCTTTTGTTGGTCTGAAAACATTTTTCATAGTGCCATTATCATTTATGTGTAAACTACGAAAACGTGATTTCGTAAGTGCTGTGACATCAGCTCACATTACGAGTTCAGTCTACATAATTCAGACAAACAGAATGACACACTACGTGTAGGACTGTGGCTGCGTCCGAAACCGCCTACTCCTCAGTAGGTACTGCATTTGAATTTAAACGTACTACTCGGCCGTTACAAAAGTGCGTTCTATACAGTATGAATGTGAAAAGTATAAATGGAATTCGGACGTACTACATCCGCCATTTTGTCATGATCACGTGACCTACTTGTGTCAGTTGCGCGCTTTACTCTAATTCATGAATTCTCTCGCGGGGCATCATGGGATAGCGCAGCGTGCATAGGATGCGCACTCCAGATTCTCGCCGGAAGTAGTAAGTTATCCGGGTACTTCTCGCATACTGATTTTCGAATTCTAGGAATTCGGACATATTACTCGGCCCGCATACTGATTTTAGTGTACTATATAGTATGGAAGTATGCATGTTTCGGATGCAGCCTGTGTGTGCACAGACACGTAGAGCTTCTTTACAAAGTAATATCGCCACCTACTAGCCTGGAAGAATGCAGCAATTTGCCGATTAGTGCAGATAAATGCATATTATAGTTAATGGGGATAATTTTAACGACACTGTCATCTATTAATAAAAAATTTGAAAGAAAAAACAATTGTTACATAAAATTTATTGAAAGTCGTTTTTAATGGTTCACGTTTTCAGGCCGTGTAAATAAACAGGAAGGATGTTTTCTATTTTAGCTGCAAATAGTGTTACGTAAAGCTCCCCAAAGTGCTTGAAAACAGTGCAATTGGTGAACTACACAACTATTTCTAAAGATACTGAGTGATAACGCCACCTACTGGCCTGGCGGAAAACATTGTTTTTTGGTAGTTTTCACAGATTAGTGTGAATAGGAATGATTTTGACTCCACTGACATCTTGACGGAATAAAATGGAAAATACGCAGCTTTTAGTACATAGTTGTCATGGAAACATGCTTTTTAAAAAATCATTTATAACGGTACAAATGTTTAAAACGTTTTTTATTTTAGCTGAAAAAAATAAAAAAGATCCGTAAAGATCCCCAAAGTGCAAATTTTCGGCAAAAAATACCATTGCCAAACTACAGAACTGTTAACGTTTCTCAAGATACAGAATGATAACGCCACCTACTGGCCTGGCAGAATACAGTGTTTTTTGGTAGTTTTCACAGATGAGTGTAAATAGGATTCATTTTGATTACGTTGTCATCAGTACAGAAAAAATGTGTGAAAAAATAGTTTTAATACATAGTTGTCATGGAAACATACCTTTTTGAAAATTGTTTATAACGGTTAATATTTTTCAGCCCACTGTAAAAAACAGGAGAGATGTTTAAGACATTTTCTATTATATTTGAAAATAGCGCTGCATAAACACCCCCAAAATATGAGTTTTTGAAAACCATGTCATTAGTGAATTACAAAACTCTGCGTTTCTTAAGATACGGAATGATAACGCCACCTACTGGCCTGGCAGAAAACAGCGTTTTTGGTAGTTTGCACAGATTAGTGTGAATAGGAATGATTTTGACACCACTGATATCTTGACAGTATAAAATGGAAAAGACACAGCTTTAAGTACATAGTTGCCATGGAAACA